AATGGCAAAGACAGGTAAACAACGACATCCCTTAAGGACATGATTGAAGCTTTCTGATGAATTTGTTGTCGTAATACCATGGCGTGAGCCACCTTCATCATGGGACAATGCCCACATGTGTTTTGGAATAGCCCTAAGCCAGTTGTATGCTTCTTGATTTTTGGCTGCTATCTCGAGAAGCGTCTGCTCGAACTCACTTCTGATAGGGGTCTTACCAGCTTTATACATCATGTTCTTCATTTTCTTACTTCGAAACTTGCTTTGGAAATTGCTTCGCACATGACGGAGACAAAATCTTCGAGTGACTTGACCTCCCTGCAATTCAGGAACATTATTGAATGCGTGATCAATACCACCATGCCTATCAGATATTATGCATATCTGGCGGTGTGGAGCCACGACATGTCGCATGATATTTGTCATGAACCACTTCCAGCTTTCACCATCTTCAACATCCACAATGGAGAAAGCCAAGGGAAAAATGTCACCATTTCCCGTCATTGCCACAGCAATTAATAGAGTTCCCTTATACTTTCCATATAAGTGAGTCCCGTCAACTGAAACAACTGGAAGACAGTATTGGAAGCCATCAATGGATGGCTTGAAAGACCAAAAAACATACCTGAACTAAAATGTAGTCGGTGCGTTCGTAGGTAGGGTTTGCAAATCCACAACTGTCCCATGGTTTAATCCCATAATTGCACCGAGCAAAGGAGCCAGCTTGTTGTATGAGTCCTCCCAACTACCGTACAATCGCTGAATGGCCAATGACTTTGCACACCATGCCTTCTTATAGGAGACAGATACTTGGAACAACTCATAAACATCCCTCATTATGAGTTTGACTTTATAATCAGCAAACTGCCTGCAAAAGCGATCGGGATAGTACATCTCCACAACGTAGGTATAGATCAAGGGGATTCTAGAAGTCCATATTCCGATTCCAGCAGAACAATAGGGTGGTAGGGTATTGACATTCGGATACGGCAACCATACAAAATGCATGCATAAACAACTAGTAATATACACATTCAAACTAAACTATATATGTATAACATTATGATATTATGAATACTCACCTCTCCCTCGAGCAATTTGTCAAGCTGGTCCCGGTATGCTCGTATGGAGTGCATGGTACAATCTGACCATCGATGGTAACACACCCATCTGCAAGCGAATGATTATGCACAACCATGAATGAAATATAGAATATGATTTTATAATATACATAAATAAACTACAAATACCTGACTCCATATGAGACATCTACTAGCTGATCAAATGGTATAACCCCTCTAGGTCTAGTCATAGGCAGACGCTCCCAAGCCCAAATCTGTAACAAGACTAGACAACCTCCAATCTGTGCTGCACTCGTCGCACTAGCACGACACATACTGCGATACAAGTAACTGAGTACTGCCGAACCAATCGCACGACCTCGCACAGTGTTTGCGTCACCCATGATTATCTCTAAAAGATACAAACTAACCTTATTTCCCGTCGTGTTGGGAAATAGGCTACCACCCAACAACTTAAACATAATGGCTCTGGCATGCTGCAAGTAATCTACATCTAAACTATGATCTGTTAGTTGCTTAGGAACAATGGCAGACATCTTAATCATAGTAGAAGTAATATCAGAAGTTTGAGGCCGAAATCCCATCATGTC